ACAATGTTGCTGTTTTAAACAATATATGTTGTTGTAGGATTCCCATAATTTGAATGTGCAGTTGCTAGGCAATGTGGATGTGTGTTCTGCTCAGACAAAATTCTCATCATTTTACATCATAAGATTAATCTGATTCCTTATTTAAATTAATGAAAACGACATCATCTCTGGTTACGATACTTGTTTGATGATTATTAGTACCACTTCTGTTAGAACCTTGTTGAATAATTGACGTCGTCTTTTTATTAATTTTTGTTTCTTCAGCATGTATTGAACTTTTATTTGGTCAAAAGATGTGTGAATTAGTGGTTGGTTCTTAATACTAAACGCTACCCTGTGAAAATCAAAGAAGACATTACCTAACATAAAACTGAATTCTGCAATATGTTCTTGAAAGTATGTCAACTGTTTACTCCAAATATGAGATCAAAGTGTTATCAACCAACCCTTGACTTTATATTGTTGACAACAATGTCTCATTCAAATATGCACGCTTGCGCACAATTTGGTATTTCTAAATATGCATGCTTGCGCACACTTGTTAGGTTCCTTGTTTCACACTGTTTTACTCCGTGTCAAAGCAATGATTAAGTTACTGAATGTAATGGGGTTTTGCCGTTTTGCGTTGGATATATTAGGGCGCTGATGTAATGGTGCGAGCTGCGAAGAGGTCGATGGTGGATGAGCTGGAAGCAATGCTCGATGCGGTTGACCCCCAGCCTGCCGGAAAATCACTCTCCATGAGGAGGAGGACCTTTGATATGCCAGATGGGGTCATTCAGAGGGAAATTGCTGAAGGTGTGGCGCAGGTTGTCCAAATGCTGGAGCGTGATGAGAACAGTTCCAATACCTTCGAGGCATGCTTGTAAGTGCACGGGAATGTGACCGATGACCTCCATTCGGAGGTGTCTCTTGTTGTAGCTGTTACTAGAGAGATGTAGCCTAGCTGAGGAATTTAAAACTAGATGTTGTTCTCCTACTAGCAAGATGTACCCCTGGTTTCCCTCGTTGTGCTTAAGACTTGTATGATCTTTGAAGTGCTGCGTTTATATATTTGGTTTTCTAAATCTAGCAAATCCTTTGTTGTGAACTACCTTGAATAACATGCGTGGCGGAGCTTTAGCATCCATGTCTCAAGTTGTTCATCTGCTCCACTTGTATTTGGGCTTCTCTTAGAGGGAGGCCCATCCAAATTATTGCATTTTTAACTTAATTTATTTGGCTCCTTAAGGGATGATCATAATAGCCGGTCAACTAGTGAGCCAGGCTCTTAGTCTTAGTTGGGTGGGGGACCTCTGGCCCCGACCTCATTTTATTTGTCTTGTGTATTTATTATTTTCGGTATGGAATTAAATTTGGGTTTGAATTATCTTGTGAGAAAAACGTGCGCTGTCCGCTGTTTTTGGTCCCGGTGCCTCGTCCAAGTTTGAGCCTCTAGCTTTGAGCCAACACCGAAACTTTCAAATAATAATAAAACCTTGGAATTAATACTGGTAGCCCATCCTGGCATTTTGACCCACAAATCAATTTTATAGGTTACTTTACGCAACCCAAATAAATTACTTGCAAGTCAGTCAAAAAGCCCATACTTAGATATTGTTTTCGAGTCAATTTTACACACGCACACGCACACGCACACATCACTGCGAATGGAATATATTTCAAAATTATGCGTTCAGCCAATCAGGGGAAATGAATGTACACAGATTATTTTTCTAAATAAATCTATTTTTTTTAGCACTTTACTTTTGTGCAGTAAAAATAAAAGTAGTAGGTCACAAGTGGTGTCATTGACTCATTGCCCAACGGAAGTGATCATCTTTTAATATTCCTGCATATAGAACACATAAACAACGAGGCTTAGTCAACACAAAACGCTATTACTTGGGAAGTAAGAAAACTTTGTGCCTTATAATTAATTATATTAAGTTAACCATTAAAAAACTATAAACACATACAGTTAAGATGGTAGTTGAGGAGGCTGCAACTTTTTCTGCGAGCGGAACTTTTCATCGACCTTTCGTGTTATGCAATGCGCAATCGCACCGAACACTCTTCAATCATTTGACAACACAACACAAGAGAAAAAGCCTGAAGGATTCTATAATTCAATTAGGTCACGCCTTATGTTATATATTTAATGTGACTTTTATTGGACTTTATGGCTTTTTATTATTATTTACTATTAGGGTTTCCATTTTGTCAAAGTCGATGAGCACACGTTTTCATTGTTTCAACCAATTTCCAGGAAAACTCACAATCTTTTAATCTATTATTCATTGGCATAGACTTGTGAAAACAGCAACACAAATAGGAAAGGGAAATGTAGCAATAAAAGAAGCTACGAAATTGTTCTTCTTCTTATAATTATTTTTTGGTTTTGTAGTACAACAAAAAGTCGCCAAGTCTACTAGAACTCGATTTGTTTCTTTAAACTAATATGAGTAGTTTCTTTTTGGAATTTATGTCGATCGATTCACTATAAAAAAAAAAAAAAATTTAAAAAAAAAAGTCAACAAAACTCAAATCTGAATCTTCTTCGCTATATTCTTAAAACCATATGTATATTCAAGCACGAAATAACAATTCATGGTCATTAAAACACAGGATCCAATAAAAATTACATTAAGTTTATCGACTTATCATCATATTTTGAAAGTCCAAGTTAAATATATAACATAAGGCGTGACCTAATTGAATTATAGAATCTTCCAGGCTTTTTCTCTTGTGTTGTGTTGTCAAATGATTGAAGAGTGTTCGGTGCGATTGCGCATTGCATAACACGAAAGGTCGATGAGCACACGTTTTCATTGTTTCAACCAATTTCTAGGAAAACTCACAATCTTTTAATCTATTATTCATTGGCATAGACTTGTGAAAACAGCAACACAAATAGGAAAGGAAAATGTAGCAATAAAAGAAGCTACGAAATTGTTCTTCTTCTTATAATTATTTTTTGGTTTTTTAGTACAACAAAAAGTCGCCAAGTCTACTAGAACTCGATTTGTTTCTTTAAACTAATATGAGTAGTGTCTTTTTGGAATTTATGTCGATCAATTCACTATTTTAATTTTTTTTTTTTAAAAGGTCAACAAAACTCAAATCTGAATCTTCTTCGCTATATTCTTAAGACTATATGTATATTCAAGCATGAAATAACAATTCATGGTCATTAAAAACACAGGATCCAATAAACATTACATTAAGTTTTTCGACTTATCATTATATTTTGAAAGTCCAAGTTCTCAACCAAGTTAATAAAATAACGTAATTCTCTATCGCAAGCAGAAAAATAAAAAAATAAAATTCACTAAATTTAACAATGTCTTTTGTTTCTAGCCGCGGCTAACAGACGTGCAAGGTTCATTGTAAAGTTTTAAAATAGCAAATTGAAGGGGGAACAAATGGCTAAAAATAGTAACATCTAGAAAATCCCGAGTCTTACTATTTAAACCGCATCTCACGGCGTTGAAAATGAGATTCCGTCGTCGCTTGTACGAGACCACCAAGTGCTAACTGCCACTTGGCCCCACCCCGCCTTTTAATAATTACCTGCATAGAAAATAGTTAGTCAAACCTCTTGAAAGGGCAACATTCACTTCTTTTTAAAAAAATTAAATTAAATTTCTAACAATCTTCCTCGTAGTTTCCATTTCCTGTTTTGGTTCTCTGCTGTCACTGTCTTTGACTGGTAAAAAAAAAGATGTGTCGCCAGCTCGGACGGGCCCCGCCCGCACGTGTGCCCAACCAAGTCATTCATAGTACAACTTGTCGCTTCCATTCCGAGTGGACATTAGAAATGTGACTAGACGAGTGCGGTCTTGTATCTTGTACTGTAAAACTATGGACTCAATTGATAAAAATTATTCGACAACTCAATTGATAAAAATTATTTTCCAACATGCATTAATCATGGTATTAGTAAAAATTGTGTTTACTATTGGTGCATTGATTGTATATGACGTATAATTCAATATTATCAATTAGGATCGATGTGACATATAATATATGGTGCATGCATTAGAGCCTATGTTAAGGTTATCTTTTTTTTTTTTTTACACGACTAATATTTAAGTTAATTTATAAGTTTATATTAATTTATTGGAATAATATGAAAAATAAAAAGCAAGCATAATAAAACGTAACAAATGAAAACCCATGAAGACAATACATCTTATTTGGGTAAATTTGCTAATTGTGCTTTGAAAATGAGCTTTCGGTCAATCAAGTCAATTGAAGTAAATGAGAAGAGGTAAAACAAGTGCCCAAATCTTTGTTTGAAGCCACAAAAAGAAAAAAGAAAAAAAAAAGGCCACAGTTTCTCTCTCAAGCACTTGCAGATACGCATCAAGCAATGTCGTTTTGCTATACATATCATCCACGTCTTTCTCGCTCACTGGTCCACAGATGCCACGCAATTCAATCGTGTGGCCAATGAAAGACGTGTAGGCCAGCCATCTCCCTCTCAGCGCCACGTGGGACCAACCTCTTTTGGGTATATTATTGTCAACAAGAGAGACAGACCCACCGCCACCGACGACCACCAACTTGCCCCCTGAAAGCGACGACACGTTCCATACACCTCCAGCACTTAAGTGGCGGGCCCCGCTCTACAACGTGGCCACGTCAACTCCGACTCGATCACAAGTGTCCTCACACGCTTTGCCACGAAACTCCCGCCGTACGTGTCCTCCTTGGATCCTCTGGCCCCCACTAACTCCCTCTCTTTTTTCTAGTATTTTATTTTTCCTTTTTCAGTTACAAACCGAAGCTATTATTTTATTAAACCCCGCCACCAAAATCCACTCTCCGCAAGCCTCAAGCCAAATCCCACGCGCGCCCTCCATAGCCGCGTCTGCCACACGAGCGGAGCTGCGACGGCGTCTCGGGTCTTTTTCGGGTTTGTGCCGGGTTGGATTGTGGAGCACGTTTCTCGTGGGTGACCCGAAACGCTATAAATACAAGACTCTAAATTTGAGGGCTTTCTTTCTTTTCTCTCTCTTTCTTGTCTCGCTCATTGCCTTTCCATTGATTTCTGGTTGTATACGTTTTTGCCCTTTTTATTAGTTTCATTTCTAATTGGGCGCTTGATTCCCGATTCTCCACCAAATTTTTTTTCTATTATTTTCGATTTTCTGCGCAGCTCGTTGCTTGCGGATTAAGGTGAATGTTTACAATCGTTGTTGTTAGTCATTTTCTTTTAAAGCGCCGACCTTTCTAAGGCACCTGTTTGGCCGCCGAGAAAATAATACCTTTTCTTATTTTTTTCAAAGCTGAGGCTGTGTCATTTGTTTTAAGGGGCTGCTGGTGAAGAATGCTTCTTTCTTTCTTGCTTTCCCCTTTCGTTTTCCTCTGTTTTCTTGGCTGCCAAACAGAGCATTTTGGATTTTTCCATACGCCTCACCAGTTGTTATTATTGGCTCCTGCTTAATTTGATAATTTGGTTTTGAAGGTTTCTGCATCCGCCCCGGCATTTCGAAGACTGCCTAGCATTTCGGATAGAAATTCCTCAAACTGGGTACGTCGTCGTTTCCTCATCTTATTCTTCTCTTCTTTATGTTGAGCTTTCTCACGTAATGTTATTTGAAAATGAATTCAAAACTTTCAGCTCTTAAGAGTTTATTAGAAAGGCGGAACCTTTCAGCTCTTAAGAGCTCATTAGTTAATAAAGTTTTGATTTTTATCACTCATGAGAATTGGGTTCTCTTAATAATTCAGATTTACGAATATGAAACTAATATCACAGTTCCCTGTGTTAGTTAATTAAGATTTTATTTCCTAGTTAAGTTTTTCTAACCGTCAAAACGGATTATGTCAACATTGTCTCCCATTGAGTTGTTTTCTGTCGAGCTGATGTGATATCGTTCTTTGTTTTCGTCTTTGATTTTTTTTACTCCAATTCCATTTTATTTTCTATTTTCTTTGCTTCTATGCAAATCATTGGTCAAATGTCGATTCATGTCGTAATCGCGTAAACTATTCTAAAGCGAGGGAAATTAAAAAAGAAAGAAAAGTCATAATCGTTGAAGTCGTAATGTTTTCTCGGGCAATCTCTACCCTTGGGTTTGGTCTTGGTGGTATTTTCAAGAATGCCCAGAAACAGAAAGTAACCATATAACCTCTACCCTTGTATGCTTGAAAAGTATATAATCTTTTCCTATTGGTGGTCCATTTTTCTGTCTATTTCAAAGCTTAAAGATTCCTTGTTTCATGTAGGCCCTTTTTTTTTTTGTGGTTGTACATGATATGTTCCCCTCTCCCAACTATGTGGGACATGGGAGCTTCTTATAATATGCAGCTACCGATCACATATTTTTCTCTAACCAAATATCAGCTGTACCAAACACTTCTAAATATTCTGTGTCATATCCATTGCTGAAGAATCTGCAATATTTTTTTGTGTTCCTCTGTGTCTGCGTATAATAATGTAGGTGATTTATGCATTAACACAGTTGCTTCGTTCTACAATTTGATCAAGTTCAATCATGCTTCGTTCTACAATTTGATCAAGTTCAATCATACACTGATTGAAACCTCTGATCCATGTCATGCTGGACGTTTCTATGCTTTTTAATACAATAGCACTAGTACAAGTAGTTTGGAAAGCCTTCAAGTTCTAGTTTTTCCCCTTGAGCCAATTGATGAGTTCCCTATTTGTCTGGTTCGATATAGGAAACTGAGAAGAGAACTGAATCTGGATCCGATGGACCTGAAATCAAATCATGCTGCTCCTGTTCTCACTGATCCTACACCCTTGAGCAAGTCAAGACTTGGTGTACCTTCCAGCCTGTTACAATATTCACCTCCTGGAGCAGCTTTTTCTGCAGGTCTATTCCTAACAATCCCTAGGAGAAAGGCTGGATTACTTGATGATGTCCGCTCTAACTCTTGGCTTGATGCTATGAAATCTTCTTCGCCTCCTCACAGAAAGATAACAAAGGATGTTAACAACGAGCCTGTGGCAAATGAGGCTGATATTGCTTATCACACTTGGATGGTAATAATTTTTTTCTACCTGTGTGTTTCAACCCTGATCGGTTTTGACAAATTTCTTAGTTATTTATGCAGTACTCCACATCTTTCTGTCTAATCTTGCAGGTTAAGTATCCATCAGCACTTACATACTTTGAACAAATCACCAATTATGCCAAGGGCAAGAGAATAGCATTATTTCTGGATTATGATGGGACTCTTTCACCAATTGTAGATAACCCTGACTGTGCCTTTATGTCGGATGCTGTAAGAATATCTAAATAGTGTATAATTTTCGTCTAAAACTTAACCCTCGTTTTTTTTCTTCGCTGTACTTGCTCATCAAAGATGTATTAATCTTTGCAGATGCGCGCAGCTGTAAGAAGGGTTGCAAAACATTTCCCAACAGCAATTATTAGTGGAAGAAGCCATGACAAGGTGATTTTTAGGTTGTGTCTTAAATGATGTCATGACATATTCTTTGGCAATCATCTGTTTGTTTATCTTTCAACCATCTTTAAGGGTGCTTTCTGAATTTGACCACTCCATGTCCTATGCCTTATTCTTTCAGGTATATGAGTTTGTAGGACTAAAAGAACTCTATTATGCGGGTAGTCATGGGATGGACATAATGGGCCCTGTTAGACAATCTACCGCTGATGACCACAGAAATGGTTTTAGGACTACTGACAAACAGGTAATTGACTACAAGCTCTATCTCTCTCTCATGCTCTCTCACACACGCACACACAAAATATACATTTGGTTGTGTTTTTTTTATTTTTTCTGTCCTTTTTTCATTTTTGTTTGGTGAATGCAGGGTAAGGATGTTAATTTGTTCCAGCCTGCAGCTGAATTTTTACCTATGATTGGCGAGGTTAGTAAATTTCCTCTCTGCATTAGCGTGCATCCGTGCAATAACCTACAAGTTTCCTTTTCTTCTCTGTAGAAAATGACAAGATAGCGTTCTTGTTTTTATTCTTGACCAGGTTTATGAATCCCTTGTTGAAAGTACCAAAGACATTGAAGGGGCTAAAGTTGAGAATAATAAGTTCTGTGTCTCTGTACATTACCGCAATGTAGATGAGAAGGTAGTCTTTTTTAAGAGTAGTAACTTGATTAATTATGACTTTGAGGTTTTTCTTTTTTATATGAAAAATAAACTTAGCAGAGGGAGCCTTTTCTTTTGTTATTCATTTTATTTTCGTTTTATGTTTAATTATTTTTTACTTTCTCATCAGAGTTGGCCTGCAGTTGCACAGTGTGTCCACGACGTTCTTAAAGACTACCCACGTCTCCGTTTGACTCATGGGCGGAAGGTATTCTTTAAAGCCAAAATGCAAGCTGATCTATCTTAGTTTCGGCTTTCATATTAATCTGTTTATGCTATGGTAATTCTCATTCAATCTATTTTTGTTCTGTTTCTGTGTTTGTAGGTTTTAGAGGTACGACCTATAATAAACTGGGACAAAGGGAAAGCCGTCACATTTTTACTTGAATCTCTTGGTGAGTATTTCATTTCTTTTGGTATTTCATATCTCTTGCTCTTATTAAAGTATTACGCGGAGGAAATCATTGAACTCCATCTTATTCTGTGCTACAATGAAAATTTTGTATTAGGGTTAAGCGATTGCGAAGATGTGCTCCCAATATATATTGGAGATGACCGCACTGATGAAGATGCGTTCAAGGTAAAATCTGGATGTGTCATTAGGAGGTGTTTTGATGGACTTCTACCAAATCAATTGAACTAACTTAATGGGACTGTAACAGGTCTTGAGGGAAGGAAACAGAGGTTATGGCATTTTAGTCTCTGCTGTGCCCAAGGAAAGCAATGCATTTTACTCTCTCAGGGAACCCTCAGAGGTATAGCTCCCTTATACACAGAATTTCTGAGTAGTTTTGAAGTTAAAGTAAACACACAGCCCCAATCTTTGATTAATTTGTGTAATTTTATGCAGGTGATGGAGTTTCTCAAGTCACTGGTGATGTGGAGAAAGTCAAGTGCTCTATAAAATACTGCATAGATTTTACATAGAAGAGATAATCTTGACATGCTTATACGATGAAAGCAACCTACTTATTTTAAGTTGTCTAGAAAGAAAAAAAGTATACCAACAGGAGGTTTGGGGAACAGGCTTTGCTTGGAAGAAGACCTCGCTTTAGCCTGCGTGCTCATAGCTTCTTGCCTTTTTTGGTTGTGAAAAGCTTTGTGCCTCAATTGTAAATTCCTCTTGCTTAATTTATCTTCTGGTTTTTACTGAGGGAGGTGCCTTCATTCTTTTCTTCTTTCTTTCTGAAATGTATTAATTATTCATTCCTTCTTTTTATTTTTATTTTTCTCCACTCCTCTTGGATTTTGGTTAAAGTATACTATATCCCTCATGGGGTCATTACTTGTTGGACTTGTTGTAAAATGGGTTATTTGATTCTATGATGAGGCCCAACCAGAAAGTTTGTTTTTCTCCATAGAACTTGTGTCAGGGATGGATGAGGGTGAAGAAGCACTTGTAATCAGAAGCATGAATTGGATGGGTAGGCCATTATTAGGCATGAAGATGTTTCTTTAAGCACGTTGGGAATTCATACAAGATGTTTCTTTAACAACCATGATCAATCTCTAATTGCTGCTGTTGCCCTTGAAACTTTCATGCTTTTTGCACCTAATTTTGTGGTTAAATGAAACCGAATCCGTCGACGCATCCAGGAATAGAGACGGGGGACATTGCAAACAGGTACAGGGATGGGAAAAGTCCCTCCTCTCATGCACACCGTCACAACTCTTGGAACTACAAGGTAAAAACAAGTTGAGGATACTGCAGAGAATCCTAATAGCTGAGCTTGAGCTAGTGCCATATTCGTCTTGGACCTACCATTCCTTCCTTCCTCATGCAATTTTCAACACTACCAGAAATCAAACAAACAACGACTCTGAATGTTAGCTAAAGGGTTTTGTGAGATCTGGAACAAAAAGGGTTGGTTAAACACATGATCAAGATCCGATGATTGATAGATGGATAGATAGATACTGTTATATATTTACGTGAGATTTGGGGCAAATCAGACAGGTCCACATGTTCCCCATGCACATACCCAACATTAACTGCAATAATCCACTAGCTAATGTTTTTTGTGTGTATAATCTGTTTATTTGCTTCATCTAAAAATTTTGAGCTCACCGTCCATTTCCGCACTTTTTTTTTTTTTTTGTCTGAACCACGAGATGGTCCTGGATGGGCTCCAACTATGGATGGCACCTTTAAGCCTTAACCACAACCCAGACTAATCCCCGTTCACACCGGGTCGGCCCGTAAGGAGTAAAGTGCTGGCCAAAGTGGTGACTCCATACGAGAGCAGGGATCGAACCCCTGACCTCTCTTAAGGAATGAGAGGGATCGAACCCCTGGTCCATTTCCGCACTTTGAACTCCCACCACATTACACATAATATTATATTTGCAATTTGTTCCGTTTCCTTTAATTTTTGTCTTTGGCCCTTTTAATTATTATCTGGGTTTTTTGGCCTTGTAATTGTTATCAAGTCATCCATCATAATTTATTGGTATGTAACATGTTCATCATCTATCCGGTATCCTAAACTGTGTGATGCTCTGGCAGCCACGTTTTTTTATGTGGACCCTTCGACAACCCTCTCGTGTATGACTGTTTCCACCTTTTCTTTATTTTTCATCAATTTCCTTTTTGTTTTTCTATTGCATTATTCATCATTTTATTTTAATATTCTTTTATAAAATTGGAGCATGTTTTTTGAGTTCAAATTCCATAAAGTTTTGTTGACATCATCATCATCATCATCATCAGGCTTAAGCTGAAACAAATCACTCACGTTTTTATTTTCTTAATTTTCTGGTCCGCATCACATTTTGGTTTGAACTTATAACCCAAATTAGATGGGCACCATGTCATGTGATTACATGACTTGGGCACCGTGTCATGTGATCTCCATGTGCACGTCTCTTTTATGCAAAAAAGGATTGTCACAATTTGCTGTCGTATTTGTGAAATCTTCTTTTTTACCATGGCTAACCTAATGAAGGATTAACCAGCATACTGTGTGATGTGATCTCCAACATCTTAAATCTCCTGTTTAGCATGACTAACCTAACTAATTAGGAAGTTTGGGACGACGCCTTTTTTGGAAGCCCAACTAATCGTTTTAATTTTCACATGCCCAACTAATTTGTCAAAGTCCACATCTTGAGGGGCAAACTGTCCCCACTCTTGTAAAGAGGCTAAGAATGACATGCCTAAATTGACTCCTCTTGCTATAGGGATTACAAACAAGTTAATTTCGGTCACATAAGGATCATTAAACCCTTTTTTAGGTTAATTGTACAAATCTTACTAACTTGATTGTCAAAGGATTCTTGACCAATACCACATTGATACCTCGTTATTTTAAGGACTTGCTTTGTTTGAAATTTTGTTACTTCATTTGGTGTTTTCACGCAAATTATTTATAAGATAATAAAATTTCTTTATTTTCACTTTCAAAAAAGATGTTTCAAGTTTGAATCCTACTCAAAAAAGGGCTGGATGATTAGCGTATATATAAATGGAGAATACAACCCATTAACACTTGTATTGTATCTGCATTAATAAAGTACTCTCTCTCTCTCTCTCTCTCTCTCTCTCTCAATTGGACAACCACCAATCTCCATGCTTATATCTCAATACCAATAACCCATATACTACAAAGCCTACAAGCCTTTGCTGAGATCTACAACTTAGATGGGCTTCTGATTCTCCCTCATTCTCTATTTAAACCCCATTGGATTTAATTATCAACACACTCTTCTCTCTCAAACCCCACTTGCAGAGATACCGCAATGGACACCAACACTACTTCCTACACTCCCTTGCCCGGAGACCCCTTACTCTCCGGACCTCCGGCGACTCCCCGGAGACCCTTGAAGGGTTTTGCCGTGATCTTTGCCTCCGTCATTTTTCTCATGTCCTTGGTCGCATTAATCATCAATCAAGGCCCACCCCAACAAGATGGTCACCACCATGAAAAACAGTCAGCTTCTACTGCTTCATCAGAGACGACGTCGTATTCAAGACTGCCTAGAGGAATAGCACAAGGAGTCTCAGCCAAATCTAACCCATCTTTTTCCGACGAAGCTTCTTATAATTGGACCAATGCTATGTTTTCTTGGCAAAGAACAGCCTTCCATTTTCAACCAGAACGTAATTGGATGAATGGTAGGTACACTCACAGCTTTTAATTTCTTTCTTATTTTTCTTTTTCTTTTTCTAGCACAAGGTCTCAATTAAGTACTAAGTTCAATGATTTATTTCATATTTTTTAATTTCTTTTGACTAATATAATCAATGGTAGGTTAGATATGTCTCCATGATTAACTTTCCGAATTTGACATCATTCCAAATATGCTTTTGGATTTGTTTCTTCTATGTTCCTTATTATTGTTTTATATGAGACTAATCAAATTTCTTTTCATCTTCCAACGTTGTTCTTTCTTTGGCTGCTGCTTTCTCCTACTTCAGATCCTGATGGTAAGTTCTTGTGAAAACTCATTATTTACTTCTTCTTCTTCTTTTTATATTTACAGCACTTGACTTTTGTGTTACTTTTTTTTGGCTTGGTAATTCTGAATTAAACCATCTTCTAAATTCGTTAACGAGACTTGCATATCAGAGTTCTCAAATTTGAACCCACATGACATTTTGGTTGTGTGTGTGAGAAACCTCATCCTGTGCAGTTTGCTCCTTTTTATTTCCTACTTTATATCAAAACATTAACTAATGCAAATTGCATGCCTCATGTGTTCTATTGCTGTCCATTAGGTTGCCCTTAGGTTGCCCTTTTTATTTATCTTTTCGCATTGCCAAAAATTTGTGATGCATACAGCTTATATATAATAAATTTCTTTTTGCATGACAAACTAAAAACTAAATACCAGTTCCGTAAGAGGTAGAAGCTAGAAAAATTTACTATTATACCCAATATACGTGACACGCCAAAAAACAATCAGAGGTAAAAACTAAGCATTAATAATGGGAGAATGGTCACGCCGAAAACAATGGAATCCCATCCAAACACTGTTGCTTTATGAGTTGTGGCCATTGGACTTCACAGTCAGGGGCCTACCTTTACCCACTTAATCCCCAATCAAACATCGCCACTTGGCACACAGAAGGGCCACAATGATTTTAGACAGATGTGGCTCTTTTTTTCGGTTTTGATAGATGTGATTTGTCCAATAAATTTAGCAATCTGCCCCCGTCTAAGTGGAACATACGGTACACCAACCATTCAAAGCATGGATGGTTGGAGTTTAGTGCTTGTTGTGGGTCCATATGTTTGCTGACATCATATATCTTGTGCTCTTCCTTCAGTATTGATCTTATTATAATTTAATTACAATCAATTAATCATTTGTGTAGGTCCAATGTTTTACAAGGGATGGTATCACCTGTTCTACCAGTACAACCCGGACTCCGCTGTGTGGGGCAACATCACGTGGGGCCACGCCGTGTCAATAGACCTGATCCACTGGCTCTACCTCCCGATCGCGATGGTCCCCGATCGATGGTTCGATGCGAACGGCGTGTGGACCGGGTCTTCGACCATCCTGCCCGATGGCCAAATCGTAATACTATACACTGGCAGCACCAATGAGTCTGTGCAAGTACAAAATCTTGCCTACCCTGCCAACCTATCTGATCCTCTCCTCCTCCATTGGGTCAAGTACTCGGGTAACCCGGTCCTAACTCCCCCACCCGGAATTGGATCTACGGATTTCCGTGACCCGACAACCGCGTGGATTGGGCCCGATGGCCTATGGCGAATTACCATCGGGTCAAAGGTCAATAAAACTGGCATTTCAATTGTCTACACCACCGCTAATTTTATAGACTACGAGCTATTGGAGGGGGTTTTGCATGCTGTCCCGGGTACGGGTATGTGGGAGTGCGTGGACTTTTACCCGGTTTCTATAAACGGGTCCAAGGGTTTGGAGACGTCCGTGAATGGCCCGGGAGTTAAGCACGTGCTGAAGGCCAGTTTGGATGATAAGAAAATGGATTACTACGCAATTGGGACTTACTTTGTGGAGAACAATACGTGGATACCTGATGACCCGAAAATAGATGTGGGTATCGGGTTGAAGTATGACTATGGGAGATACTACGCATCAAAGACATTTTATGACCAGAACAAGGAGAGAAGGATCCTGCTTGGTTGGATCAATGAAACTGATACTGAAACTGACGACTTGGAAAAAGGCTGGTCCTCCCTTCAGGTATATTACATGAACCATTCTCGAAACCGATATTTTTCTTGGGCCTCACATTAAAAAAATAAAAAAGAAGCAAAATTGAATCAAACCCACATTGATTACTTTGTTTGCAGACCATTCCAAGGTCTGTGCTGTTCGACAATGCAACTGGAACCCATTTGCTTCAATGGCCAGTGGAAGAGATTGAAGACTTGAGATTAAACAGTACAGAGTTTAGCGATGTCTTGGTTGAGGCAGGGACGGTTGTGCCGCTTGATATTGGAACAGCTACACAGGTTTGTCTAAGAATCTTTGTTATATACATAATAATAATCATATTTTTTTCCTAATTTCTAACGTATTCTTGGTTGCAAATATGGACAGCTGGACATATTCGTCGTCTTTGAAATAGAAGAATTGGAAACAGAGAGTGTAAATGGCAGTGTAGGTTGCGGTGATGGGGCTACAGATAGGAGCACATTGGGACCATTTGGCATTTTGGTCCTTGCAGATGAGACTCTTTCTGAGCTAACCCCTGTTTATTTCCGAGTTTCCAACTCCACCGATGGGGATGTCACGACTTATTTCTGCGCCGACGAAACAAGGTTTGCATCTTTAATCAGTGTTAAGATTGCCCATCAAATAATTTTCACTATGAAATTAATCTTACGAACAATAACATGTTGGCTTTTGATGCAGATCTTCTAAGGCTCCTGAAGTCTACAAAACAGTTTATGGAGGCCAAGTTCCTGTGTTGGATGGTGAAACATATTCTGCCAGAGTATTGGTAACAATTTCTCTGCTTACCAAGTTTATATTTGTTGAAAATCAAAAGGGATTGTTGAAATTGTGATCTTTTTCTAAATTTTGGTGTTGAATGTTGCAGGTTGATCATTCAATTGTGGAAAGCTTTGCACAAGGAGGTAGGACGGTGATTGCGTCGCGGGTTTATCCAACGGAAGCAATCTATGGAGCAGCAAGGCTATTTTTGTTCAACAATGCAACTGGAGTGAACGTCAAGGCCACCCTCAAGATTTGGCAACTCAATTCAGCCTTCATTCATCCTTTCCCATTAGACCAGATTTGATCAGTGACATTAAATTAAGGAATTCTTGCTGCAGAGCAAAGCCAGTTGATTGATCAAATCTATTGCCGCAAATCTCCTTCGTTAGGATCATAAATTTTGTGGCAAGCAAATGCCAAGTGAGCGTCATTGTTATTTAAACCTTTTTCTTTTTCCTTGTTTGGGTTGTACCTTTCAGTTTGTAGTTAGGCATGCCCTTCAGCCATATCTGTTGATTCGAGTTCCAATAGTAACAAATTAATGAAGTGAAAATTTTGCTCATTGAACTGAAATTCCTCTTGATTTTCCATGTCTTGCAAAATTATGATGGCCAGAGTCTGAATACGCATAAGGGCAAAATAAATCATTCCAACTTGTTATCAATGTACATTATTTGTTCTTTCAAGTGTCCATAACAAGTACTTGTTACATAAATACTGTGTGTAGATATGTATTGTGAGTCCCATCTAGTAATGGGATTCAAATACATCAACGGCTATGAATAAATCACGTATCCGAGTCCCGACTGACCCTAGCATCTTCCGTCGTAATACTAACAAATTTTGGGCCATGATAGCTAGATTGGGCCAATGCCTGTTGTATTGGACTATAATCAATTTGGGTTTCGTTTTGGACTGAGGAACCATCCAAACAAACCACATGTGCTGGTGCTTAATTTAATTCAATTTTACTACTCCTACACATACATGACTAGCCATTCGACCGTTGGTCCTATTTTTTTTTTTAAAGGCTCCTGATGTATAGTTTTAAAATTGTGAAGCACATTTGACTTTTATTTCCAATGCTGCATCTTTTTGGCCGCATCAATGCAGCCAAATACTCATCCCTGAAAAAGAAAGATGCAGCAGTTTCTGCTTAATTTATGGATCATGGCTAATTCTAAAGTATCATTAATTAATCTTTTAGGTTTTTGAATGGAAGCCAGCCCCTATGTATAAATTTGTTAATATAATGCCCTGTCTTCTACGTTTGTCATTGCATTCTTATCCATAAGCTTTTATCTTTTTTTCTTATATAGTTTGTATTGGTTCCATGTTCTTATTTTACCAAGAGTTTTGTTCTGGAGTAGAATTTCGATGTCCATATGGAAGAAAGACATTTAATTAGGAATGTACTTTTGAACTACCACAAATTTGAATCAAGCAACCGGCTTCATATGCCAATAGAGTCTTAAAAGGTTTCGTAGAATCTCGGAGTATAAAAGAAGATGTATAAAAAGTTTGTGAAGTTTACACAACTATAATTTAGTTTAACGATCGTAACTGTCTATATATAATGCTTCAAGGATCTTTCTTTCAAGATATGCATCGTTTAAACTCGAAGTTGTTTAGTAATCGATTATGTGCAGAACACGTGTATGATATACTAATTCAATTTCAAAATTTTGTAGAGTCATCTACTTGTAAAAGCTGAAAGACATGTCCCTTTTACTTGGTTAAATAAGACTAGGTCGTTTTTGATTGAAAGATTGAGCTCATCTTTATTATAGTTGTTATTTGTCCTTGTAGCTTGTACTATCTTTTATTCAAAATGTCCCAGGACTTTGTGTTAATGTCATTTTATTTTCTGCGTGTATGCAGGCTTCTTTTGCTTTTCATTATTATTATTTTGTTGCAAGCCATGTGCAAGTTAGTTGCTTCCTGCCAACGCCCAGGATATAAAATTAAGCAAAGGACAAGTTTTCCTCTTCTTTATATTATCTTAGGCAATACATTCCATTTGTTTTTGTTTAATCGCAATTCAAATCGCTAATTTTTTATTTTTTATTTATAAAAAAAATTAATTAAAAAAAAGGAGAGAATTGAATTAGTATTGTCCCAGTTGCTTATTTTGTGTGTCCATGCACATGGTTTAGTAAGACTTTGATCACAAATTATTAGTGGCACACCAAACTCATCGACACTCTCATTCAATTGGACATATCACTTTCCCAACAACAACCTCATTATCGACTTAATTACATCACAACTTTGGCAAATTCTCATTAATCATTATTGTCTTCAGACCCATATTTGTCCACTTACGTTTGCCGCCACTTTCAGTTCTTCCTTCGTCGGTTGACGATAATTCATTTCTGAAATGAAAAATGAAAGAATTTTATAGTATAATCAAATTGTGCGACATTTAAAGTCAAATAAAACAAATGCGCATGGAACAAGCAGCTCTCCATATCAATTTTGGATTCTATTGCCACATCCTCATGCTGCTGCCATAAAACCTTAACCCTCACGAAAACTCCACCAAACAAACCTCTATTTTTCAAAACATATAAATATTTAATATATGCAAATATAGACTTAGCCAAGTTGTATGATTAGAGCAGATATGCTCTTCATTCTGTACTCGAATTCGAATCTCCACCGTAATTTAGATTACATTAAAATATAATATCGTTTATATTAATAAAAAAATTAATATATACAAATACATTGTTTGAAATTTACTAATAAAGTATAGAATCTATATGAAACAAATGTGACTTGAAAATCAAGTTTAAGCATATGCACATTACTGCTCCGTTTGAATATGTTAATAAACCCCTTAATTAATATATGCAATGTATCTTATATAAAAGGATTTGGATCATTTATTCTGATTTTATCTGTCATGATATGTTTGACTTTTATTATCTATATGTCACCTCAGTAAAATTTAATTTAAGGAATATAAAATGAACACAAAACATAACAAAAGGAAAATAGTACAATCAGGATTTTTGATTGAGGTCAGACTATTTTTCTCAAAAAAGAAAGAAGATTATAATTGTTGTAAATTAAAAAACATTGATGACCACGTTAATGGCACGGAGAATAAATTGCCATATCAACCAGATCATGCCACCTCAGCAACGAGTGGACCATCCCAATAATGTTTTTGGCTTTTAAGAAAATCATTCAAATGAAGGAAAACAACGGTGGAATGGAATAGTAAACCGTGTAATCTGCGTGTTCTGCTTCAGTGGGGACGTGGACAACCAATAACAATATACGAGAATCAAAAAGAAAAGATTATGAATAAAATAAAATCACAGTCAGCAAATTAGGGTGGGGCCTGAAGCCGTGCATGTTGTGGCTTTTTCAGAGATGAGAACGTTAGAAAATCTGAGCGAGCGCGAGACGCCGAAAATTGTGCCTTTGTGTTAGTGGGCCAGCTGCTCTGTGGACTCTCCTTCGCTGTCAACTATTTTGATTCGCCATCCCGCTTGTCACCGCCAACACCCGGTAAATCAGACAATATATTGTGTGTCTATATACATATATATATATGTAAATTTTGTTTTTTATGCTTACACATTTTCTTCAAAATCAAATAATATTCGGTTGTGATTCTGTTTTCCCAAAGGAAAAAAAAAATCAAATCAATATTAGGAATGAATTAGCCTTTTCTCATCATCATGTTAATTTTTTTTTGTTAATTAAATATATTCTAAAGGAAGGCCCTCGTGTCCCTTAAGGACATTCAAATGATTTGGAGCTATATATATATATACACACACATATATATTGAATACAAGCGATAGTCTAAATTATGAGAGAATTTAGATTCCAAGTCATGTGAAGAAGATCGCATTTTATAATCTAATAAAAAAATGATTGTTACATAACCTTTTGTTATATGCTAACTCTTGTATTTTATAACCAAAAAATGTCACTACCATGTCAAATTATTGGTTAAATTCAAAGGTTATGGTAAATCCAAAAATATTTTTATTTATGGTATATTTTAGCAGGAAAGATTTTGTTTTTATGGTCTGAAAAAAATAAAATTCAATTGATAAATAAATAGAAACTGAACCAGTTGAGGCAGTCACCTGTCACCGTCCTAAATATATGCGCGTTAGACCAAAATTTTCGATGAACGGAGTGGTTGTAGCATGATACAGTGCGTGACTCATAGCCTTCTCCATTCTTCTCCTACAGACTAAGAAGAAGAAAAAACTTCCTTCCGTTTTCACACTCAACCTTCGTTTTTCCTCACTCTATTTCTCTCTCCTGCTTTGATAATGTAAAAGAAGTTCTCCAAATCCCAGAAAAATCGTCTTTGATATCATAGAAGCTTACACTCATACATATAGTTTTCTGTTTCAGACGCTCATGGCTCTGTTTGGGCTCTCTCTGTTCACTCTGTTTTCTTTGACCCACATTGCTCTGCTTTCAACTCTCTGTTCCGCTGCAGACCCCACCGTCTCCTATGACTTCCGAGTCTCTTACATCACCGCCTCCCCGCTCGGCGTTCCTCAGCGGGTACGCTTCTCATAGCGCTCTCTTTTATTTCATTTGGGTTTACTTTGTTTTTACTGCTGTGTGAGAAAGCGGGCGATTATTGGTTTACATTTTGGCTTGGGATCTATTGGAAATGCCATTATAATTTTTTTTTTCTTTATGGGTTTTGTATTTTTATGTAATTTTTTTTTTCAGTAAATCCATGGTTTATGTTGTGTGTGGTATTCTATCAGAGTCGAGGGTTTATGTTGGGGTTTTTCATAAGGGTGCTTATAACTCATTTTCTATGTGGGGTTTGGGTTTTTCAACGATTTTGTGTTAATTTTCAGTACATTTTGAAGGATATATTTAGTCCTGATGAGGAAAATTGGTTGTTCCAAACCCTTCTACGCAAGGGTTTTCCACCCCATTTTGTAATCATTCATATATTTTTGGCTACGTTTGGACGAGTGATATAGTTTTTAGGCTTTGTCTTGTATCTTACATGATTAGGAGTTTGAGTCTTTTGAAGTAGATCAAAATTTAACTTGCATTACTTGTTATTGTTGGAATTTTTGACTGCAGGTTATAGCAGTTAATGAGAAGTTTCCTGGTCCTCCTATCAATGCTACTACAAATAACAATGTTATTGTTAATGTACAGAATGAATTGGACGAAGATCTCCTCCTTACTTGGTAGGCTTCACCACAACATTCATTTTATTTCATGAAATGGAGCGTTTTTGAGATGCTTGAGATGATTGTCTATGACAGGTCTGGGATCCAAATGCGGCGCAATTCATGGCAGGATGGTGTTCTTGGCACAAATTGTCCAATCCCTCCTAAATGGAATTGGACTTATCAGTTTCAAGTTAAGGATCAGATCGGGAGCTTCTTCTACTTCCCATCTTTAAATTTTCAGAGAGCAGCAGGGGGTTTTGGTTCCTTTCATATTAATAACAGGGAAATTATTGCAATTCCTTTTAATAAGCCTGATGGGGATATCTTCATTACTATTGGTGACTGGTATACGCGAAACCATACGGTCAGTATATGTTGCTGTTTTGGTTTTTTCATGTGAACAATGAAGGTACAGAAATGACTCCCCCAACCCCCTTTCTCTTTTTCTAGGCACTGAGAACTGCTCTTGATGCTGGAAAAGACCTCGGGATGCCAGATGGAGTTCTTATCAATGGGAAGGGGCCTTATGAATATAACAATACCCTAGTACCTGATGGGATTCAGTTTGAAACCATCAACGTTGATCCAGGTATTTTTTTCAGCCTCCTTTTTAATATTCACTTTGTTTTCACAGGTTTTCTAGTTTCTGATTTGTATGATATCATTATAAGTATGATTATTTGTTAATAACTCCATTCTACTATCATGGAGCTTAATTATTTCACTTGATTTGGTTCAGAATGCCCCAAGTAATTTCAGTTTCCATAGCTGTGCCTATGAAGCAAATTTCTGCGCCTCTAAATAACACTAAATTCAAATTAGGATTGTGCCAGGACATCTCGTACCTGTGGTGCAATATTCTTATCTGTTATGTGTGTGGCATTTCTCTTGGAAAATTGTTTCACATGACATTCTACTTTGCAGGAAAGACTTATCGATTACGTGTGCACAATGTTGGTATTTCAACAAGTTTGAACTTCAGAATTCAGAGTCACAATCTGCTTCTAGCTGAAACAGAGGGTCATTATACAATGCAACAAAACTATACAAACTTTGATATTCATGTCGGACAGTCATATTCATTTCTTATTACCACGGATCAGAATGCCAGTAGTGACTACTACATTGTTGCAAGTGCAAGGTTTGTAAATGAGTCACTTTGGCAAAGGGTTACTGGTGTTGCTGTCTTACACTATTCCAACTCTAAAGGTCCAGCAAGTGGTGCTCTCCCTGACCCTCCCAATGATGTTTATGACAAGACATGGTCGATGAACCAGGCATTGAGTATCAGGTTTGTTTGTTTGTTTTTTTTCTCAGATTATGCTCATTCAAGAGGTTGATTTATTGTAAGATTTCTTGTGGTATTGAGATGTTAACAGTTTGCTTATGAGGAGTCATCAGTTCTCTTATATAGAAAAGAATAGAACAGAGATATCGACTTAAACCATTTTCGTGCATGCATATATTGGATTTCCACTTTAAGCTTCCTCATCCTTTCCCCTATTTTGTTCAGCTTTAGGCGAATCTGAGAATATTTGTTACTAGTGCACTTCACTCGAGAGTATTTGTTACTAGTTCACTTCTCTCAAGTCTTTGGCTTTGTTATTGTCAGGCAAAATGGATCTGCAAGTGGAGCTCGCCCTAATCCTCAAGGATCATTTCACTACGGTTCAATTAATATCACCGATACATACGTGTTAAAGACAGTGCCACCACAGATAATCAATGGGAAACTGCGAGCTACACTAAATGGCATCTCATTTTCCAATCTTACTACACCAATCAGGCTTGCTGATCAGCATAAAGTTAGGGGAGCCTATAAGCTTGATTTCCCCAATAAGCCACTAAATAGATCCCTCCGAAATGATATATCTGTTATCAATGCTACATATAAGGGTTTTATTGAAATCATTTTCCAGAACAATGACACCACAGTGCAGAGTTTTCATTTGGATGGATATTCCTTTTTTTTGGTTGGGTAAGTTTTATTTTCTTTTAAATTGCTTTATATCATTCACTTTAAAAACATGGGAGTTTAGAGAATCTGATTTGTTGTGTACAGGATGGATTATGGTGAGTGGACTGAAGACAGCAGAAATAGATACAATAAGTGGGACGGAATCTCTCGCTGCACTGCACAGGTTTGTCTTCTTATTGGAGCATCTGTTTTTCTTACCCCCAAAAGGGAAAAAAATTTCTGTGGAATAAGCCTATATGAATGTGATGTTGTGTTACAACTTACAATATGGATGCTTAGATGTTGATTGAGGTTGCTATTGTTTCTCTTGTGACAGTTTTAGATTGTGATTTTTTTGAAACAAATGGCCACATATCTATTGTCCTGGATCGTCTTATTGTTCATGCATTGGTGTTATGAAGTTATGAGGATGACTTGCAACGCTTGTTTTTTATATATCTTGCATTAAGTGCTTCTCTTTTGCGAATGTGTAGGTTTTCCCTGGTGCATGGACGGCAGTGCTCGTCTCACTTGACAACCCCGGGGCATGGAATCTTAGATCACAAAACCTTGATAGATGGTATCTGGGCCAAGAGACATATTTGAGAATTGTGAATCCAGAGGAGAATGGTGAAACAGAGTTTGGTGCGCCCGATAATGTTCTGTATTGTGGTGCCCTAGCCTACTTGCAGAAGTATGCTAACAATGCCATTAACTCATTCTCCCCCCCTCTCTCTAGATGAATGTTTTCATTCTAACATTTCCTTCTTTGGCATCTTCAGGGAACAGAAGCACTCTTCTGCAACATCAATTTCCGGAGGAAATATCAAGCTCTTCTCCCTGCTAATGGCATTCTTCACTTTGGTTTTGTACTTTTAGATGATGAATTTATTGGTGGCTATGAGTTTTTCTCTCTCCTCATATTAAGGAGCTTCTAGAGGTCTCCATATTGGGTTCCAATACATATCTTAGAGTTTAGGTGTGCAAATCCAGTCAATCGTGGTACATTTTTTTTTTCGTGGTTTTAGTGACATTTGCTTCTTTTTTGGAATTTTGTGGAAGCAATACACATACAATACCGTGTAATTGGTCTTTTCCCGATCCAACATTCTTTTGTGCGTTTATGTGTAATCATGATGATGATTATTAACCCGTTCTCAATCAATCAATCCGATACCATTTGTCTTCCTTTAAACTCAACTTGGCATGCGTTTGATGTCGATTTCTTATCATTATTTTTAGGTATTTAGATAAGTGCAAGAATTCTATAGTGTGGGCCTTATATATGACCCTTAGGTGAGACCCTATCTCTTAACCGTTGGATCAAATTGGATAGTTGTTTGTTCAAATTCGTTATCCTGATCTAACGATTAAGAGATAGGACCTCACTTAAGAACATCTACAATCGTGTTCTCTATTTTCTAGTTAAAATTTAGCTAAAAACATATAAAAGTTATTTTAGGAGCTCCTTATAAAATTTAAACTTCAATTGTGCTCTCTAGTTTAGGGAGTCATAAATGTTATAACCTCTTTTTAATTTGTCAATTTGTATTAAAAATAATATAAAAAGTAGTTAGCATTAATTAAAAGTTTGAAATACTCATTAAATAAAGCAGAATTAAATTATGGGGAGCTACTAGGAGTTTTTTTTTCCTCTCCTTATATTAAGGAGCTCCTAGAGGTCTCCCTATTTTAGGAGGTGGATAAGGAGCATGGTTGGAGTTGTATTTTTCCAATTCCTCTTTAAAATTTGTCTAAAGATGTAGTTTAGGAAGCCAATTGTGGATGTTATGAGGGCCATATATAAGGCCCTAACTATAGAATGACTCTAGATAAGTGTTTCTTCAAATTTTGCTATGATTAGAGCGTCCCTAGAGTTTCATGAAGCTTTTAGGCCCGTTGGTGGCCCATATACAATCAAAATTTGCACCCTCAATAACAGGGGCTTATTCAGACCCAAAATTAAACAAGGGCTTACTAATGAGTCCTTAATACTCATCTAATCAATGAAAATGTTATTTGTAGACTGCTAGATTGAATCCCTCACTACTATAACTCCTCATTATAGAAGTTTGCCTCCACCTATGATCCATAAATTTGATGAGACGCAGATCAAATAAATTTTACAATATGATCAAGGACACCTGCAAAAGCATGTCTTGGGTGGGCACCGATTATAGAAAGGGTTGAATTTGTGGGTTTGATTGAAGAACATGATAGCACGAGTCACATGGTGTGCTTGTTTATTATTATGCGTACTTATGATTACATTGATATCTTCCTTCTTCCGCAAACAACAATTTGAGATAAATTAATGCATTAAACCTTAATTATCAATCATAATTACCTCTCTAAAATACCATTTCATGTCATGCCTATGGCAACATTCTATTCTTGGTCATAATTTTTTTTTTCCATCTCTAGCCTCTACATATAGCTATCGTGCATTTACCTGCATTTCGCTACATCCAAACCATCCTAATAATCTAACATGCCACATCATCAAGCTTGAGTTTTTTTTTTTAAACTCACGTTTTATGCCTTCAGTTTTGAGGGTCTTGCTTGGTTTGGGTGTGTTTCTTCTGATTATTCATTGTATGACTTTCTCATTTCTTTGCACATATTTTTTTCTTCTTCTTTTGATTGAAAGACATCAACACAAGGTTTTGCTTATCAGTGGAGGAAGAAGAAGGTAGCTAATTGAAGTTCAAACTCAAGGAATCATATAAACTTCCATTGGCATCGCTCTTTCTTCCCAAAGGCGAAGGAAAAAAAAAAAACTAATTTTACTTGATTGGTTGGGAATTGAAATTTTTTGCAAACATGGGAGTTTTTCCATTGCATGACAAAGCAGGAACTCAACCCAAGTGAAGACGCTCAAGGCACGAAGGCAGAACAAAAAATATTTAGAGCATTAGCGTTAGTTCAACTTCAATTTAGAAAGGAAAAAAAACCTCAAAGCTTGATGATGTCGCATTTTTTAAGCATTTAGATTATTAGGATGATTTGAATGTAATGAAATGTGGGTAAATGCACAATAACTAAATGCAAAGTCTCGTCATCTTAATTAACTTCTCCCGAGTTTGCTGCTTTCTTGGACCATGAGCATGCCTAATGAATATGTCGCTGGCTCCATAACTTTAATTGATTGCTTGAAATGGAAAGGGACTTTGAATTAAGCTTGACTTGTCAACAAGCAAATCCACATATTCTATAATTTGTATTTATCCCACTTATTATATATAGCAAGTCAATGTTCTCAATTGAATTTCACTTCCAACCTTTTATTGGTTTCTCTCCAAAATTCAAAGTTGGTGCTGATTGCCTTCACCATATCCCTCACTGCAACTTCAACTGCAACATCACCATCTTGGAAACTCGGAGCACGTTCATGTGTTTGGTAGTTACCATACCTTATATTCAGCTTCATCATGATTGAGTGCCGCCGCCATAGGTTAGTAATTATTCTATTTATTTTTTTCAACAAATTCAGCATGACATTCTGCTACTATCAATCTAGCTAGAGTTGGTGTCGGTAGCGTGTTTTTGGTTTTCAAGTTGGAAATAGATTTTTTTTTTTAACGCTTCATGGTGCCAATATATAACAGAAGGTGTATAAAAATATTGCTCAACTTTTCTTTGCTAATAGCTTTAGATTGAAACTTAGCCTATTTAAATGGTTGACAGTGAAATTGTCACTTGGTTTCCTCAACTATCTATATCATCAGGCCACGTCTTTACGTCGATCTGTCCTAATTTTTTTTTTTTTTTCACTCTGACTGAGAACAAATCTAAGCATACTCTGCCAGCACATAAAACTTACTTTCTAGTTGGTGCCAAAAATATATGTATGGGACTCTTTGCTGATTGAAGTATACCATATACTTGCCTTCCACGCGTTGAAAAGATTAATGATATGCATAACTGCATTTGCCAAGCTTTGCAGCAAAGCAATATTCATGTTGCTGATATAGGTCGGCTTAATCACATCATTCTCTCTTCTTTAGTTAGGAGATTAAAGAAGAAGAACCATTCTATATAGATAGGCAGAAACTGTGAAACATATTATTGAAAAGGATAAGATAAAACTATCGTAATCTTCTATGTAATGTAACATTTCAATCAGCTGACATACAAACATTTCTACAAATCGATATCCACCACCTGGTTGAGTTCTTTAATTAGCCGCCTACATGGCATGCAATAATCAATGCTTCAACTTCATTTCTTGCAGCAAACTCAGCTCCACAGTCCACCTGTTAATCCATCTTACAAGAAGCTGACTAGAGTGTTGGTGGACTTAACTTACTACATACTAGAACAGACAAGAAAGTTGAGGGCTTAATTAAGTTACAATCATGATGTCGTTTTATTATGTACAGGGAATTTTTGAGTTCAACAACCTCCTCCACCTTCCCTTTTAAATATGGACTTAAAACCTATGATCAGTATATACTACTAAAATAATTAATTTCAAGGTGTCACTTCCATACTTCGATTCGATTAGACAACTACTGGTTGTCGTTTACTTGTATCTGAATGTCATTATATATATAGACATTATCAATAGGGCATATATATAATCTCATGAGTAGCTATTTCCCTTATTAGAAGCATCATCCTGGCTGAGCTGTGAAGCTACAAACTTGTCAAGCATTCGCCAATCGGTCAGTTGATCTACGGCTTGCGAATGATCATCATTACTGTTATTACCGTAGACTGTTCCATGAAAGTTTGGATCTTGATCCGACGGCTGAAAAGTGCAAGCGTGGTTGATGTCAATACTATATGCATGAGCTGCCATGGAGTTGGAGCTGCTTACACCTGTGGCTGAAGATTGGAGTAGTTTTGGGCTCCCCAGAAGAGGGAGCTGGAATAAGTGCTCATGGGGAACCTGGAAAGCGGGCAAGTGATCCAGCTCTTTCTTGCAAGGGTAAGGAAGGTGGTGGTATGGTGCCATATTAATGTTGGAGTTTGAGTTTTGGTTTGGTGAGTCCAAGTCCGGCATGAAGGAGACTTGGTCATCATACCAACATGGTGACTCATGTTCACTCATTTTAATTCCCATGCTTGCAATTTTCTTCTTGAAAACCCTACACACAACCCAGCCTTCTTCCTGCTTCAATTGCAAAAGAAATCGAGTTTGAATGCAATGTAATAAGAAGAATCAAACTATTTGTTCTATCTCAACCGACACGCTCTATGATCACTTGAAATGGTACAAATAACAGCCTCTACATAATGCAAGAAAGTCGTAATATCGGTGAATTAAGTTCTTACCTGTGGAGTTCCATTTTCATCGGTTTCAAGACGGTATTCGTGCATAATCCAATCTGACTTTTGCCCATTTGGGGCTCGCCCTTTATAGAATACTAAGGTCTTCCTCATGCCAATTAAGTCATGCTTTGAGTAAATGGCCTTGTCTCTACCTGTGGCTTTCCAGAAGCCTGCAGCGGTGGCTCTATTTGTTCGAGTTCCAGTGGGATACTTCTTGTCTTTATGGCTAAAAAAGTACCATTCGTTTTGCTCTTCTGTCCCTATTCTGCATAATTCTGTATGTCCAAATTCATGTCAGTCATATTAGTATGCATTCTTGTGAACTGACTCCAATATACTGGTTGTGAGATTAGACATACCTTGAAGATCCCATGGCTCAATTTTATAGAGGTCTACATCTTTGATGACATCAAGGTCAATCCTTCTTGAACTAACCTTTTTCCTGAGGTAGTAATCAACAAGTTCTTCATCCGTCGGATGGAATCGGAAACCAGGAGGAACATGTGAAAAAGTGTTCATATTATCCAGCTTAGCTTCTTGTTCTTCAGTCCTGATTATATAGAGGAATGCGTGTAAGGGTTCACTCAGGTGGAATTGTTTAACACAACTCTTCATCAACATATGTAATCACCTCCATTTGATTTTAGTTAAGTTCAACTCTAA